CATGTTGGCCAGGATGGTCTCGATCTCTTGATCTCGTGATCCGTCCACCTTGGCCTCCCAAAGTGCTGGGATTACAGGCATGAGCCACCGTGCCCAGCCTAATTTTGTATTTTTAGTAGAGACAGGGATTCTCCATATTGGTCAGGCTGGTCTTGAACTCCAGACCTGAGGTGATCTGCCCACTTCAGCCTCCCAAAGGGTTGGAATTACAGGCATGAGCCACCGTGCCCAGCCTATTTATATTTCTTAATAAAACAGTAGCAGGTCAAGAGCTTATTTTTTCTCCTGCCTCAGCCTCCTGAGTAGCTGGGATTATAAGCATGCACCACCACACCCAGCTAATTTTTGTATTTTTAGTAGAGACAGAGTTTCACCATGTTGCCCAGGATGGTCTTGATCTCTTGACCTTGTGATTCACCCACCTCACCCTCCCAAAGTGCTGGAATTATAGGCATGAGCTACCATGCCTGGCCTAAAAGATTTACTTATTAATTTTATTTAAACGTAAAAATAAACTCATTAGAGAGGCTGGACATGATGACTCACACCTGTCATCCCAACTAAGGTGGGAGGCTGAGGTGGGAGGATCACTTGAGGCCAGGGAGGCAGAGGTTGCAATGAGCCAAGATTGTGCTACTGTGTTATTACCTGAGCAAGTCAAGGAATGCACCACACTCTGAGATTGAATTGTGAGTCCTTTTTTTTTTTTTTTTGAGACGGAGTCTCGCTCTATTGCCAGGCTGGAGTGCAGTGGCACGATCTCAGCTCACTGCAATCTCTGCCTCCCAGGTTCAAGCAACTCTCCTGCCTCAGCTTCCCAAGTAGCTGGGACTACAGGTGCGTGACATCAGGCCCAGCTAATTTTTGTATTTTTCAGTAGAGACAGGGATTCACCATGTTGGCCAGGATGGTCTCGATCTCTTGACCTCATGATCTGCCCGCCTCGGCCTCCCAAAGTGCTGGGATTACAGGCGTGAGCCACCGCGCCCGGCCATGGGTTCCTTATTTTAGCCAGCAACCGAGAGGTGGCTAACACCCAAAATTCTCTCGGCCCCGAAGAGTTAGGGGTTTCTTATACCCTGGTTTGAAAAGGGAGTGGGGAACCTAGCTGAAGCAATTTTTTCACAGAAGCAGTGTAAGCAAAAAGTTAAAAGGTAAAGGAGTACCTGCGAAATAAAACAGTGCCAGGTGCAAGGGCTAGAGCTGTCATAAAAAGACATACACCTTATAGATGCGGGGCCTCTGGGTACTTGACGGCACCTGCAGTCCCAGGCTCTGCTGGTGCCACTTAACTTGGCCTCTTATCAGCAAATGTACTCCTGGATGTGCCCAGTGTCAGCCTACCCCAGGTACATACTACAGTTACATACTTAAAGAGGGGAATAACTACAATGAAGAAGCTAAGATGGAGTCTGTCCGGCTCAAGAAGCTAACAAGAAGCCTGAACAGCATTAAGCTAAGAAAGAGAGAGTCAGTTTAAGCTGACAAAAAACAGCTTATCACAACTGCACTCTAGCCTGGGCAACAGAGCGATACTTTACCTCAAAAAAAGTCACATTCATTAATATCACCATCAATTTCATCAGGAAAAATGGTTTTTTGTTATTTATTTATTTGAGATGGAGTCCCACTTTGTTGCTCAGGCTAGAATGCAGTGGCACGATCTTAGCTCACTGCAACCTCCACCTCCCAGGTTCAAGCAGTTCTCCTGCTTCAGCCCCCTGCGTAGCCGGGACTACAGGTGCATGCCACCACGCCTGGCTAATTTTGTGTGTTTAGTAGAGACAAGGTTTCACCACATTGGCCAGGCTGGTCTCACACTCCTGACCTCTGATCTGCCCGCCTTGGTTTTCCAAAGTGCTGGGATTACAGGCATGAGCAACCATGCCTGGCCCAGGAAAAAAGCTTTATTTAAAAAAAAATATGTTTTTGTAGAGACAGAGTCATACCAGGCTGGTCTCAAACTCCTGTCCTCTGTCCTCAAGGGATCCTTCCACCTCAGTCTCCCAAAGTGCTGGGACTACAAGCCTGAGCCTCCGCACCCTGCCAGAAAAGTTTTTAAGTGTCATGCCAGGTGCACTGCCTCACGCCTGTAAACCCAGCATTTTGGGAGGCCAAGGTGGGCAGATTACCTGAGATCAGGAGTTCGACACTAGCCTGGCCAACATGGAGAAACCCTGTTTCTATTAAAAATACAAAAATTAGCTGGGCTTGGTGCTGGTGCCTGTAGTCCCAGCTACTCAGGAGGCTAAGGCAGGAGAATCTCTTGAACCTGGGAGACAGAGGTTGCAGTGAGCCGAGATCACACAACTACACTCCAGCCTGGGCAACAGAGCAAGACTCAGTCTCAAAAAAAAAAAAAAAAGTTTCGGAAACTGTGAAGTTTACAGTGGTGGACACAGGTTTACCTAAATCCTGGTGTTTGCGCAAAAGTTCAATTTTACATTTACAAAAAACGCTGTCATTGTTTTCCTTGGTGGGACAGGGTAGCCTGCCCACCTCAGCCTCCCAAAGTGCTGGGATTACAGGTGTGAGCCACCGCACCTGGCCCGTTAAATTTATTTCTAATTGTTTAATTTTTTTGTAGCTATTGTAAATGTGATTGTTTTCTTGATTTATTTTCCAGACTGTTGTTAGTATATTTAGAAGCGCTACTGATTTTTGTATGTTGATTTAGTATGCTGCAACTTCGCCAAATTTATTAATTAGTTTGAACATTTTTGGTGGAATTTCTGTTGCTTTAAGCCACCCAATCTGTAGTAACTTGTTATGGCAGCCACAGGGAACAGTGTGGGGGTCTCGTCACTCCAGGCAACAAGCCGCACATCATAGACTGCGGGTGTCATGGTGGGAGGAGCCGGGAGTCGCCCTGGAAGCCCCTTGCCCTCCCTGCCAAGGATGGGACAACTGAGACCTAGGAAGTAACCCCTCGCTGAAAGGCCATCACATATGCTGAGATTGAATGTTCTTCACACAAACACAAGCTGACTGCCCCAAGGATGCCAGGGAGCCACTCTTAGGCACGCTGGCAAATTAAGGGAAGAGGCCAGGAACAGGGGTCACGCCTGTAATCCCAGCACTTTGGGAGGCCGAGGCAGGCGGATCACTCGAGATCAGATGTTCGAGGCTAGCCTGGCCAACATGGTGAAACCGCGTCTCTACTAAAAACATAACAAATTAGCCGGGCGTTGTGATGCGTGCCTGTAACCCCAGCTACTAGGGAAACTGAGGCAGGAGCATCGCTTGAACCCAGGAGGTGGAAGTTGCAGTGAGCTAAGATTGCACCATTGCACTCCAGCCTGGGCGACAGAGCGAGACCCCGTCTCAAAAAAAAA